CATTCCCATGTCAATTAGACGGCAAAAAGACTCATTACTAAACTGGAGGATGCTTAACTGTTAGCCTTTTCTTTCCCCACTTTAAATATTCCCCATATTTGGGGAGGTAAAACAAAAAAGATCCCAATCATTTTATATGTCCCTTGGATTTTTCTTCGGGGTTGCACACAATAATGTCCTGAAGATTGATTTTCAATACCTGGAGACTCCAAGCCAGTCCTGGAGGGTTAGCAAGCCCAGGTCCTGAACTCAACTCACGCGTGGAGAGTGGAGGTGGCTCCCTAAAGGCCTAGAGACAGACTCACATGGCTGCCAAGTTCTCAAAGCTGATGGACCAGACACGGTCTGACTAAAGAGGAGCAGATTGCAATAGAAAGTAAGAAAAAGACAGAGATGCCTCCCTCCATCTTTATTAAAACTAAATTAAGCTTTTTGTAGCTAAGCTATCATTATTGGAAAATCCTAGTCAGAATCTTTTAATTAGCCTTAATTGAGTTAATAAAATAGAGCACACAACTAGAAGCTCTTGTGCTGCAGTAGTAGTATCCTTACCTCTGAGCCAGGAGGTCTGGGTTCAAACCCAACCTGTTCCAGAGACATTTAACAACATCTTTGAACAATCTATTAGAAAATATCAAGGATATATTCCTACCATTAAAAGAATTGAAAGATTTCACATATCTCAAAAACATTCAAGAATATTTTGCCTTCAGTAGATGACCATTGTTATATGAGCAACGCAGTATGATTTTTCTACACAGAAGGATCCCACGAAGAGATTGACAAGTTAATTCACTTTAGGTGATGTTGACTGATGAGGAAAGGTTGACCAGATCTTTAAATGACTTCTTTTATTTCTTCTTCAAAGAGGGCAATGGGGTGCATAGCAGCTATCAGAACCATAGTGAGAAAGTGAGATAGAGCCCTTCTTTAATATTTAATTGAAGTAAAGTCACTTAGATATGTATTATGATCGTAGTGAAAATGGACTATCAATATTCAACTTCCATATTGGACTTTGTTCCTGATACTTTCATGGTCTAAAATATGGTTTAAAAAAGGACACGAAAAGGAAACTGACCTAAAATGACTGCTTTGATCACATGACAAATGCAGACAACCCACGGGGAACATACAAAATGGGTTGTATTGAGACTTTCATTTGAATCAAGAGGGACAGAAACACAGTGAGGCATCAAAAAATTTGCATCTCCTGCTTTATTCACCCTTGTATAATAAATTCACACAGTAAGAGATAAAGTATTGCCTGCGACTATCTACTTTTGGATAAAACAATGACACTGGCATCAGAAGACTCAACAGCAGCCTTTGAGCAACAAAAGAAACAGGCAGCAACATTGACAGATAACAGCAATGATACAGAAAGCTCTTCTCTCCCTGTCTCTCTGTTATTCTGTTCATTGTGCCTGGGAATGTGTATGATGACACATCTTTATTACTTTTCTTGAAGGTAGTAGGAAATAAAATTCCTTTTTCTTTCAATCGAGAAAACCTTACAATTGTTTCCTATATTTTGATTAATGAAAGTGTGACAGCCACATGCTTAAAGAAATTGTTGTGACTGTGCAGGAGAGCGTTAAATATAACAAAGCAGAACAATTGTCCTCATCTGATCTTAACACATTATAATACTCCCTCAGGACTGCATTTGACACAGGCTCAGATAACGTGCTTAAAGTTGAAGCAGAACTAAACTCCTGAATCAACTAAGAAAAATGGATATCAAAGACCTACTTGAAGTTCAAGTGTCAATGTGCAGGAAACATATGGGTATTGACCAAAAGGAATATTCCTGGCATAGTGCAGTAACAGGTTAGGACTGTATCACACCTGCAATGATGTCATTTTATGTGTCTTGCCTGCTCAGAGGAGATTGTAGGGAATTGTAGAGTAAGCAGTTAATATGGACAAATCTCTCAATGGCTGGCTGTTGCAGCTAGACTCTGGTCAATTAACTGGGGATTGCCAGTGGCCAGAGATGGCATAGCAAAACCATTTGTTCAAAGTGACTGTGGGCAACAGCATTCAGATAGTGTCAACTGCTTTTGTTGCACTGTGGCTAAAACAAAGGTACAAATTCTCAAAAACAGGGCAGCATTCCTGTAGAATACTGGACTGGTGAACTATTCACCCAACTGCAGTACAATCTCTAGAAGCAATACTCACCAGCATTCATATGTAGCCGCTGCTGAGAGGGGAAAAATGTAACAGAAATGGATATTTTTACAGAGATTATTAGTTCCCCATCTATGCTTGCCAATTCACATCTCATACCCTCATGGTTCCCTTAATTCAGATTGAGGAACCTCATTGCAGAATCACGTTTGCTCTCTATCTTATTGAAGAATACTACCATATTATGACCATTCTTCCCTAAGGGACTGTACTCAACAAGACTGTTAATTAATCCTTTCTCATTGCACAGTACCCAACCTGTTCTCTGGTTCCTCAATGTATTAAAAAGAAAATCACATACACATTCCACGGAATCTTCCTCCGCAATACCATTGCTAGTTTGGTTTGTCTAAGCTATCTGTATATTAAAATCACCCATGATTACAGTTGTACACCTATTGTATGCATCTGGTTTCTTATTCAGTGCTGTCCATTACACCTCCACTATTGTTTGTGAGCCTACAGACAACCCAAAACAATGTTTTCTATTCCTTGGTGTTTCTTATCTCCACCCATACAGATTCCACATCATGATTTGCTGAGCCAATATGCTTATTCACTACTGCTATTTCTTCCTTCACTAACAATGCTACTTCACCCCCTTTCCCTTCTTTCCTGAATAATGAATACCCCTGGCTGTTCAGTTCCCATCCTTGGTCACTATACAGTCATGTATTTGCAATCGCAGCTATATCATAACTGTTTATATTTATTTGTGCTGCTAATTCATCTAACTTATTGTGAATACTCTGTACATTAAGACATGAGGCCTTTAGAATTGTCTTTTTAACCTTATGAGCAATCTTAACTTTAGTTTACACAATGCCCCATTTGTTTTTTTGCCCTTGATTTTTCTGTCTTCCACCTTTGCTTCTTACTTTTCTATCTTTTGTTTCTATCCCTGTTTCTCCCTCATCTGTCTCCCGTCTCAGGTCCCCATCTTCCAGCCATTCTAGTTTACATGGTCTCTGACAATCCCAGCAAACAGCAACCCCTCCTCCACCCCTCTACTGCAGGAAAGTGGTTTTAGTCCTGCCTGGTAAAGTCCATCCAGTTTGCACTAGGCCAATCTTCCCCAGAACTGATCCTAATGGCCTAGGAGTTTGAATCCCTCCTTCCTACACCACTTCTCCAGCCATGTTTTCATCTAGTATAGCCTGTTATTTTTACTCTCGCTAGTATGAAGCACTAGTAGTAATCCTGAAAATACGGCCTTTAAGGTCCTACTTTTTAACTTACTTCCCTCTATTCTGTTTGTAGGACTTCATCCCTTCTTTAACCTATATCATTGGTACTGATATATATCAATAACAACTGGTTTTTCACTGTCCCCTCCCCCCTTCAGTCATTCTAAAGCATCATTGACCCTGGGACTAGGGAGTCAACATTCCATCCCTTTTTGCTGTTTTGTCTCTTTTACTGCAGAAATGCCTGTATGTTCCCCTTTACTATTGAATTCCCTATCATTATAGCCCTGCCATTTTTATTCCTCTCTTCAGGTAGATACTGTAGTGACTGGAACGAAGTCACCCAGGTGGATCCATAGAATAGGAGTTCCCTGATTGGGACTGCTAAACCAGTCCAGTCAGGGAGCCCTGGCTAACAGATATAAACAGGAGTTTCAGAGGTTCTGTTCACTCTGAGAGTTGGCTCTGATGAAGTTGGATCAGTGTCAAGGACCTTCACAATGACTTGGTGACAGGATACCAACCTCTGGAGTTATTTCGGACACATCTTGTAGAGTTACCACCACCATTCTCTTTCCTGGTGGAGATGTACAGGGTCTGTTTGGTCTGGTATAATAAAGGAAAACCACCTTGTGGGTTACAGAGAAAAGGCTCTTGTCTTAAATAAGATTAGTTTATATTTTGATATCAACTATTTATATGTTACATTGGTATTATAGACACTGTTGCAAAGACTATAAGGATGATTTCAATGTTAGGTCTTATTCTATTGAGGTCCAAAAGGTAACCATCAACCAGGGTCCACAGGGCAACATCCTATTGGACGGTCCTTCATGCAGTCCACATCATTAATCCTTTCACACCCTTGTACAATAACAATTTCAGGTAAAATGCCAGTTAGCCTATGACCCACCATTATTAAACTCCAAATTGGCTAAAACCTCCTGGTCTCCACACATGCCCAGTTCAACAAGGAAATAATTAGTTGCCCTGCTTGTCGAGAAGCTGTACTGTACTGCACCAATATCTCAACAAGAGGTTCAGCATTGAAACACAAGGAAGGATGACTATCATGAACTGGAGAGGCACAAAAATAACAGAAACCATTCCACCTTGTCCGTTATTGTGCCAGGTAATTGTTAAAGATTTCACAGATTTTACTGTCACACAACCTCTCTGAAAACGAAAATTAGTTCAAAGTCTCATTCTTAACAATTGTGATTTTAAAACACTATCAATTTTTTCCTTAAATATTTTCTTTTTGCATTTTTATTCCATCTACATCACTGTCTTAATTTCACATACTGACACTGAGTTAACCATTCTAATAGATATCTCCTGCTTCAGGCTGTGTGCCTCATATTAACTAATTGGGTAAAGAGATATATAGTTAATGCCCTGTTACCACAGGTTCCTGATCATCTGTAAAGGGCATGGTGTTGAAATGGCTTTCTAATTACTGGAAATTCCACTGTTAAAGTTCATAGAACCACTGTAGACAAGTGTAATTGTAATGAATGGCTCTTGACATTCAGCCACTGCTGATCACAAAATCCAGCCCATCATTTAAAAATTTCCAGTGAATGACACATATGACAAAATAGAAACTTGACTTACTGGTGCATGATGCATCTTTGATAGGCGTGCATTCTGAACTCAGCATTTCATTCTCTTCACAGATTGTGCAGGGGAGACAAGGATCAGCACTGCTCTTTTGGTCAGAATAGGTTTCCAGAGGGCATTTCTCACAGATGGTATTCTGTTTATCAGTACACAGTTGCAGTACCCCATATCCCTCTTCACAAAGATCACACTTAAGGCACTCTCCGCCCACATTATCAGGATCCTCATAATAGCCGTCCATGCAAATGCAGGATGTATCAAAGTTATCCATACAAGGGATTGCAATGGTTCTTGTACCTAAACATTCTGTGCAAGGTTTGCAGGGTTCAGTGTGGCTTGAAACATCTGAATAAGCAACACCTAGGATGAGAGAAAAGCAAAAGTAAATAAGTGAAAGAATGTGTTGTCTTCATTTTTCATGCTCCTTACATGGGTATTTATTTCCAAAACAGACACTTTGCAACACCTTAAGCCAGTTAGCAACAGGTATATATTTTATAGCAAACTCTTTACTGTTCTCCTACATGAAGATACCAAATTTGGTGAGCAAATGGACCAACCAACAAAATGGGCAGAGAGATGGCGGATGCAATATGGGAAGGAGACGTTTACAGTGATACATTTAAAAGAACAACAATATGTAAGCCCTCCCTAAATGTGTAGGAGAAACATGTTAATGTAAGGGTAACCCAATGGTTCAAATACAAAACTCGATGAATTTGTGAATACGGATGGATCAAGCCATATAATATTTTGGGTTTTGTAAGTGGAGGTCTGGAATGCAAAAAAAAAGGCAATGATAAACCTGTACAAAGCAATGATTAGGCCATAGTTAATTGAACATTTGCAGTTTTTGAGTACACAGCATTTAAAAGAAGAGTTAATTAACATTTAAACTAAAGAAGGATACAGAATGTTGGGGTGAAAACAAGGCAGTTAGATGAGATTTTAATATACCAGCAACACATTAGCAAATATTTGAACCAAATAGTCTCCTATTTGGAGATCTGTACAGTTTACTCTTCAATTGTAAATCTTTCCCCCAAGATACATACTTCTGATTCACAGCCTTTTCTGGTGCAGATTACACTTTTGCCCTAGGCGGGGAGAGAGAGAGAGCAGCATTCCCAATCGGAGATGTTGCAACACAACAAGTATGCACAAGATTCTGTGCAGTTTTCAACGTGTTTCATTGAAAATCCTGTAATCACAGTATGCGTCTGAGTTGACTCATTTCTAGATGGGGCAACTTTGTGTCAGCTTATAATTTGACCAGCAGTGGACGCTTACTTTGCAAATACACAGAGGCTGAAAAATGTTGATGACTACAATTCAATCTACAATCTAAAGAGGGAGATGGCAGAGGCATGGTGGTAATGTCACTGAATTAGTAATCCAGAGTCCCTGGATAATATTCTGGAAACATCAATCTGAATCCCACTGGACCAATATTGATATTTCAATTCCATTTAAAAAGTTTGGAAATTTTTTACATAATCCTATCGATGACTGTGTAATTTCTGTTAATGGCTGAAAAATCCATCTGTTTCACTATTGTACTTTAGGGAAGGCAACTGCTATCCTTACCTGGCCTGACCTACATATGACTACATTCCCACACCAATGTGGTTGTCTCTTAATTGCCCTCTGAGTAATTCGGGATGGGAAATAAATGCCTGTGTAGCCAGTATGCCAAATGCCATGAACGAACAACTTAAAAAAATCAGCATGACAATTCAGCAAATTATATGGATATATTTGTCAATGTTTGAGACCATCCTTTCCTCTCTGAAATTCTAATTTAGTGTTTGGAAAAACATGTTACTCATAGATATAGTTAATTTACCCTGTGACATCCTTGAATTGCACAAAAGAATAATAATTGGACATGAGAATCTCTGAAACTTACAAGGGATCTTAAAAAGCAGTCAAAGCAGAAAGTTTCAATCTCTTGAGTCTAGGCTGGATCTGAAACAAGGCATGAAGGCCAGTACCGAATACACTGTGCTGAATAGCTCATTAGCTTGAATCAGGGAATACAGGGAAGACTTTTTTCTTTATCCAAAGTCTCCTAAAATGTGGAATTCGGGATCACATGGTAAGGTGAATAACTTGGATGTATTCACAGGGAAATTAGACAAGCACACAACAGGGAAAGGAATATAAGAATATAGTTATATAGGGAGAGATTCTTGCAGAGCAGAAACATGAAATCAAATTGGTCTGAATGGCAAGGTTCTGTGAAACTGAAGTTATTCCTGCTTAAGGAACAGTGCTTTTCATATTATGGCTAGACTGGAATCTTATTAGAGTCAGCAACATTCATTATCAGGTTTTGCCACGAGATTACCTACTCCCCCTCTGACCCATACATAACGTGACCTGTCATGTAAGGAGAAGGAGATTTGTGGACATTTTCCCCTCTAATTTGGAACATCATTAGTGGTTTTAAGGATCTATTGCACACTGTGAGCTTTATTTACAAAGCAAAATTAAAGAAATGTTAACCCTTGCTTAAGTACAACCCACCTTGGAGACCAGGTGAAATTTATATGGAAACTTCAGTCCCTAGTTGCCCCAAAAGCTAAGGTAGCCAATTCCATTTGAATACATTCCAAGAGGTTTGAGCACTCAGCATCATGTACATCATAAGACCTGGTTTACAAACCTAAAGGCCTTTTCACCGGAGACAGACAGAGATCTAGTGATTAGGCGCTGGAGGAGATTGTGTCAGCCTTACAGTTATCAAAAATAGGGCAATTCATTGTAGCCTACTATTCTAAGTCTACATCATTCTTCACAAAACTTTATTTATTTAAAAACACTGAAACTAAAATGCAATCAAATCAGAAGTTGTAAGAACATTTTGGAATGAAAGCTGGCTAAACAGTGAGAGTGATCTTCCATCCTCTCTGTTAGCATGTTTGGAGGTTGGGAAGGACATTTAGTCAGGCAGGAATTGTAGGTTGATTATCCCACTGCTTTCCCACGTCTATCCCAGAATAGAAAGGCCCTTCATCAACCTATCATCCCACCAACAATTGAGGCATTTGAGCAGTCAATTAATCACCACTGAAGGGCTCTATCCCACCGCCACTAGTATCAATCCAGCTCCAGATGGACCTTTTGCCATCTATCATGCAAGACAAGTAATGTCATGCAGGCTGGTTATCGTTTCCTCGTTGTAAGAGGAGTGGTTCCTCAGTACTTGCTCGAGGGGTCCAGTATCAGAAAAAGAGGCCTCACTAAGAGCCACACCGTCTGATCTTTCTGTGACTCCCCTCTCACAAAGCCTAGACTGAAAAACCTTTCAGCTTTTGTTTACCTGCAGCCTGAATCACTCTAGGATCCTAGGCCTCCCATGATTGTCTATCCTACAGTAACCTTTGCCTCCCCTGTGCCACTACTGAGTAACGGAAGTACCAGCCTCTGACTAACCAGTAGCTTTTGGATAGAAGAAGGACCTCCACTCTTGCAATCCTGATCAATCCTGGTCCATAGGTGGCCTCTCCCCTGCCTGATTAGTTCCTGGTTCTACAGGATTTCCTCAGAATTGGCAGGGGCCGCTCACCATCTCCCCAGATTGTAGGAGAGACACCATTACCTCCACAAGATTCCTCCTCACAATTTAGAAAATATTGTTGTTAACTCAAAATGAAATCCAGCAACAGAATTAGCTAGTGAGTCTTGTATTGCTTTTGGCTGATACCCATCAGGAAATAAATTACTTTAAAAGTTTTTATTATATTTGAAAGCCAATGCCAAGAGCTCATTGTAGTGCATTTTATGGCTGTCAATGCAAATAACTTAATGGTCACTGCTGAGTAAATTGGTGCATGTAAAATTGTTTTATAAGCTGCTTTAGCTTTTTGAGATTTATGATATCAAAAATACAAGAGTTAAAACATTAAATTTGTTGCCAAATATTCTATTTGCTTATCTCTTCTGCATTTTGTGGCAGAAGATTATTTTAATTACAGAAGATAATCTTCAAAATAATTGCAGCTTTTAGCTTGGAGCTTAAGGTAGGCCAACAAAAATGGCTGTTTCACTGAAAATCTAAAGCTACCTCAGGGTAGAGATAATTGTAGGCTCTAATATGTGAATTAAATTGCTATTTCTCTTGTTTTCACAGTGAAATTAATGCTTTAGAATAAATGCTAAAACTGAGAGAGGGTATTCAGCTAACATGTTGAACAATTGTCCAATGGCTTTGTGGACAGTCACTTATTTGTCGCAAAACAAGTTTATTTTACTTTTATATTACTTTACATTTGTTCTCGTGGTGCTACTGTCAGAGGCTCATGAATAAATGTCTCCTGACATTTGACTTCTAAACCATTTCAGAGAACCTACATAGGATGGAAATTAACAGTATGAAAAGGCTGTTCACAAGCTTCCCAATTTTGACTCCTCAAGTCACACCAATTAAATGAATTCAGATGATATAGATTCCATGATTCTGTCATTTTACAGAAAAAAATGGCATGATATACTGAAATATAAAATACATTTTGATAGAATTTAATCAGACCCATAAAGTGAAACATATCACCTAGGTCTAACGATGGGGTGGACAGAAGCTTAAACATTAAAGAGGAGAAGAGGACGCAGATATTCAATGTGTCAGTTGAGGGGTAACTGGAGGTGAGGATTGTCTGTACATTACATAATACGCAGCTGATTGGCACAGTCAGTTTACACCAGAGCATCAAGTTTAAATCTATCTAAAGAACTCACAGCATCATTCGAATTTGGTCACACCAACATTCAAAATGAAATGTGGTTGGAATAAAAACAGAAAAGGTTCCAAAGAAGAGTCATATTGGACTCAGTGTTAAGTCTTTCACTGTCCCCACAGAATAGAAATCTGAAAACTCTGATGATGCCCATGTAACCATTGTCAATTGTCATAAAACCCACCTGGATCACTAATGCCCCTTAGGGAAGGAAACTGCTGTCTTTACCTGATCTGGCTTATATCTGATTCCAGATCCACAGCAATATCGTTGATTCTGAACTGCCTCTGAAATAGCCTAGCAAGCTAGTCAGTTGTATCAACCAGTAGAAAAGGAGAAAAAGGGTTGAAGATTGAACAATACCATTTGACATCAACCAAGGTGCTAGAAATGACAATGGTGCACACAGCCCTGACAATGCTGCAAAATTCTCCTTACTAACATTTGGTGGCTAGTGCCAAAATTGGGATAGGTCTCCCACAGACTGGTCATGCAAAAGCCTGACAGTCATACTCATGGAAATAAACAATATCCCAGAACCTGGTCATTACCATCCTTGATTATGTTGTGTCCCACTGGCAGGACAGACCCAGCAGAGGTGTCATCACAGTGGTATGTGGT